AATTGAAATATTGGTAGTCGCCAAGATACATTTGCGGTCATGGTAGTAAACCTTATCTCATCTTCATGGATTTGCTAAATATATGTCAGTTTTTATTGATTCCAAAATTAAATCGAATCAAAAAGTATAAATCCAATAACTCAATGTTCATCAATCTGTCATTTTCGCCAAAGAGTTCTAGTTTACATGCAGTTATCAAAAAGTACTTCAGCAAAGGCTACAATAGACTAGGTTAAACTAATAGTACTTCTGAGAGACAGGTTCTTAGATATTTGGAATCAAAACGATGGTTATGAATGTCTCATACAGTTCGTGAGCATCAACTCGTGAAATCATTCTCAAAATAATATGTTATAGTAACATATAGGAAGAATTTATCTGGGGTGTAGGGTTTGGCGTAATACACATTGAACAACCATATGAAGACACTTTGTGATATTTAAGTAATTTTTTGGAAATTTTTCTATTGAGGTTGAAGCTCTATCTATTCATCATAAATTATAGCCACCGGTTCAAAGTTTTTATGCATGAAGTACGAAAAAAGTCAGTAAAAAGGGTAGCAGCTTGTGTCAATAAAACGTTTATCTTCGTTTTTCAATCAATGTTTTATTAGAAGGCTTTTGATAACTTGGGAGCAGTAGTGTGGGGTATTGTTTTCCGTATTTTTGTTTAATAAATTGGATTTTTAACCTCCCAGTCACACATTATTAATTATTACACATACATTGGTCTGGGCTGACACAACATGTGGCAGAACCAATTGGATTGTCATGTACTATTATTTCCACAAATAAAGCTAATATTGAAATATTTTGCAGAATAATGTTAATTTTGATTCAAACTTTACTATTGGAAGTTTGTATATTAGTTTGGTTTTTTTCTGTGAATATATTTCTTACACAATATTTAAACATAATTATCAAACTAAAGTTTCCTCACTTTTCCGATGTGTTCATTTCTTCTAGTCTGTCTGTTTTGTCTGATTCGTAGTTTTGTGGCGGGAATTTTGAATCAACTTATTTTTTGTATTGGCTGGATATTGTGTTTACGTAGTTTGTCGCACCTCTGAATTGTTGTGAAATTCTTATGTGATATTTCTGTACCTTTTGTTTACTCTCAGTCAATGATTATTTAGATTTTCTGATAAGATGCCAGTTAGTACCAGATATTGGAGTGCTAAGTAAACAGATGACAACAGACATGTGATTAATATGCTGTATTTCCTAAAATACCAATATATTCACTAGTCCTATAAAGCTGTACACAAAGGGTTATAATGAATGAACTCTTCTTCGAACGATTATGGTCAGTAGATAAATCAACAATCCATCAAGAGCCCATGTTTGATCAATCTAGTTCAAGAGAAGTGAATTTAATGCAACATGAAATAACAGTGAATTGACTGCTTTTACTCAAAGTGTGTCTTTACAACACTATTTTGCCCTATTTCTAAGGGATTCACTGATGACTCAACATTTTTGGCTTACTATCAATCCATATTTCAAACGAATTGAGTGAGGTTAAATGAAATTCCGCGCTCATAATGATTGGATAACTTCAACAGCAAAGTAAGCTTCTTGAAAATATAATTCTCTTCTTGACCTGGGCTTATTCAAAGCAAAAAGCTCATGTATGTGTCGTGTTGAATGAAAAAAAAAATAAGTTCCCTTTCACATTTTGAAGTTGCTATGCCCTTGATCAGTGCCAGGTGACATAGCCAAGGAGATTCGAGGTTGAACTGCGCCGCATTTTCAAAATTTCAAGATGACTAGCTCAACTATATCCTAATTAAGCCTAATATTAGTCTTTTGTTAAATAGAGGTTTTGTCTATTACTACCATTTGACAAGACTACACCTGTGAAAACTCTGAAACTACTTTTTATGTCATTATTGTCTAAATATCCTTGTGTTTTAGGTGAAGCTATGTCAAACATAGTATTTACGATAATCAACCTATATTTTTGTGATAGAAGAGAGAGTTTATTACCAGAAACGAAGTCAAAACATTTGAAGCGACAGAATATGAAATAATTCAACAATAATTGGTTGGCCATTATTTGTGAGGGTCAGTATGCGAGACTGGTTAAGTCACTGCGGCTCTGTTCCATGCTATATATAAGTAATCATTCAGATATAGCATCAGCGATGAAAAATGCATAAGAATAAATGGAAATAAAATGTATATGTGTGATTCAGAAATTTAATATACCGGTAGGTTAATAATGAGGATTGTGATTTTGCCAGGTCAAGTGAAGTTTTTGAGTTTGGGCAGATCTAGCAAGATAAATATCAAGAGCTTAGATTAGTTTTTACAATTATTAGATCTCCGCTCTAGGAGATTATTCTTGTTCTGTCTGTTTAGCGTCTAAGTGCCTGAGCCAATCTTTTTGACATTGGTGCCGCCACCCTAGTAATGTACATTTCACCAAATGTCTGAATTGTTTCGTTTGCATGGCAGCAACGAAAAACACAACAATCGTTAAAAATTATCCATTTTCTCCCATTTTTTTCACCTTTTTCTCGTCAAAAAAGTCGAATATTATAATTCTGAGTAATTTAACATTTTTGGAACTTTTGCGCAGGGATAGCAATAAGATGAACAGCGCTCAATATAAACCAGCAGTTTTGGTACAATTTTCTCGGTACAATTGCGTCATCCTATTACCAATTGGTAAACCTGATATTACACGGTCTTCAAGTAATGGCAAAGATCCATACTTGGCACCTACCGGCTTGTTTATTAATAATTTTTAAATTTAGTTTTGTAATTAGATATTCATAGGACAAGTAACAGGCTCAAATAGATGCCAAAAAAATAATGAGAGGGGAGGTTTTTATAGAGATCAGGCATAACAGGTCTTACATAAATTAAAACTCTGATTGTAGAGGCGGTCAACTCAATAGCATATGGAATTTTAACAATACCCTGCAATTCCAATAAAATTTGAATTTTCTTTTGAACGATTGGTGTCTCATATACAAACAATATCTGATGGGTAATATAAACTTGCACTTGTCACCTAAGTTAAGCAGCTGAATCAAGACTATATACCAGGGGTGGGCACAATTTTTTAGTATAAGAGCCTCATGCTGCAAGTCAGAACTTTAAAAGAGTCTCAGAATTTGTGAATTTATTAATATTATCGAAATATCATGAACAGAAAAAAAGTCACACAAGAGTCTAATAACAATAAATATCTGAAAAAGGCAGCTCTACTCAAATATATGCACAGTCTGAGCTCATTTAATTTGTGCTCCTTATAGCTGATTTACGAGGGTAGTCTCGTAAGAGGTTTTCATGATTCGTTTCATGGTGCCGTTTAACATTGCTGTCTTTATTCTGACTTAGTAGCTTATGACAGATTAAGCACAAAGGTTTATTCTCCTGACTGTTAAATGCGTATTCTTCTTCCCATTCTGACTTGACAACTCTGTTTTCATCTTCGTACTTTTGTTTTTAATTGAGGACATATAACTTATATAGACTAACTAACCGCAATCAAGCTGCAATATCGCCGACGTATCAATAAACATTGACCATTGTGACGAAAGATTTGCTGACTTGACTGACTTAAATTCAAAATTCAACGCTACAGCGATTTTCATACTAAAACATAATTTGTCCTAATCATTGACGAAAACTTCTTTATAACTTTTAATAAATTAAAAAAATTTACATTAAAGTTTTTAGTAAAAGTTAGTTCAAATTTGGATAATAATTTTTGTTAGCGAGAAGAGCCGCACCAAAAGTCTGGCGAGTCACATGCGGCTCGCGAGCCGCGGTGTGCCCACCCCTGCTATATACCATAACGAGTATTTGAGAATTTTTTTGTACCTCCAGACATGTCAGCAGTAATTGGGTGCTCACTTTGGAATAGTCATATTTCAGTTTTGAATGAGTCGCTTATCCTCATGGAAAATTTAAAAAAATGCTGACAAACATTTCATGAATACAGGGTGTCCCAAAATAAATGAAAACAATTATCATTCATTACTATAAATGTTAACATTTTCTGTGAGCTCGTGTAATAACAATTGAGTAATGAAAGTTGGGAACCTCTCAAGGTTTATTTAGATGAATGCTCCAAATTACCACCATTCTGTCGAAGACATTCTTGAAACCTTCGGGCAAAGGTATCAATCACTCTGGCTCATTCTTCTCTGTTTATTGCACAAATGTTCTGCGTAATGGCCAATTTCAATTAGTCAATTGTTTTGGGATTATTCTGATGAACTATATTTTTTACCAAGATATATAAGTAGAAATATGGAGGACTCGAGTCAGGCGAATATGGTGGCCATTCAGTATCATGCCGCCTGCTAATCAACCAATCAGAGAATCGTTGCTCAAGCCATTCAATGTGATATTGGCTGTATGTGGAGGAGCTCTATCCTGTTTGAACCACTGCATATTTCGATATATTTTCTGCTGTGTTTCAAGGTCCACCTTGAACTTGTTAAGCACCATAATGTAACTCTTTGGTGACAATAAGTGTTCTTCAAACCAGTATTTCAATTCTGTGGGTATAGTAAAATTCCTGACAAAAAATAGTAGTCTCATGCATACTGTTCGATATCAGTGGCTGATGGTATGGAGGGCCTAGTTCGAAATATATTGCTTGAATGGGTGTTGTATAAACAACATAATAAAAATACTTAATATACTTGAAATTGGGAAAACACAATAATATTAATTTAGAAACAATTTTAGGAAGATATAAGGAATTGTAACTGTTTACAAAAGTATAATATATTATATCCCATTCACCCATAACAAATTTACAGGTATCTACCGTATGTTAGGTTTCGACGCACTTAGTTAACAAATATTTTCTTCTCAGATTTGTAGCAGGTTTAGGTAAAGTTTGTATCTGGTAACTTTGAAGATATTGTCTAAAAAATGTATTAGAATATCACATCAAATGGATATATTTTTATAAAGCTTTACCAGATGGTCATTACACTGGATGTTAAAACTCAATGACATTGTAAAGGAAACATGATGTCTTATCAAAAAGTAATAGCAAAAATCAATGAAAACACTCAGAAGAGCACTGAGTTCTATGACTTTGCTGAACCTCTCAAAGTTTTTGAGAAAAAATTAAATGTGGACGTCACTCCCCTATTGGAAGAAATTGATTTTTATGAAGGTGGAAGAATAATTGAATACGATTACGTACCAGAGTCATCTGAGTTCCAAGAAGATTCGGAAGAAGAGAGAGAAAAAACACCTGAATACGATTACGAATCAGAGTCATCTGAGTTTCAAGATGATTCGGAAGAAGAGAGTGGAAGAACATCTAAATACGATTACGTACCAGAGTCATCTGAGTTCCAAAAAAATTTGGAAGGAGGGAGAAAAAGAGGGATCAGAAAAAAGACTCATCTTGATGAATTGTTTAACAACTTCAAACAAGGTCATATCTGTTTCGTGGGTCCCGCGGGATCGGGCAAATCCACACTCATGAAAGCAACATCGAGAGATTCCATGCATGGAAAATATTTTCAAGGAACCATCAAGATGGTTCAATATATACAATGCAAACAATATATGAAAAACAGTAAAGTAACAGCAGGTGAACTAATTTTCAACAATCTCCCAAAGGAAGAAAGAGGTCTAGCAATTGATTATGCAAAAACCCACCCAGAAGAAGTTTTGTTTATGCTCGACTCCTTGGACACTCTTCAATATACAATTGATGGAGTTTATGAAATCATCAGCCCAGATGAGCCTGCATATCCTGAAGTAATAATATGGAATTTTCTCGCTGGAAAGTTATTTCCCGGCTGTCGCATTTTATCTTCTAGTCGTGAACATTCCATCAGAAATTATTGGGGAGAAGTTCGACCAGACAAGGTCATTGCACTTGCTGGATTAACAATGGAGTCCATCAAAGAAATTATTTCAGGATATGAAGGAAATGAAGAAGCAGAGAAAATAATGGAATTTCTCAAAATCAAAGCTCCATTACACTTGTTACTGTGCACCACACCTGTGATGCTGGTTTACACATTGATAGCTTTGAAATTCAAATCTGACTTCAAGCCAAACACTATGACTGGTATTATGACTGTGGTCATGCAAAGAATTTTACGATCACCTCACACTCACCAAGAGAATATTTTGGAAGCTTTGGACAAATTAAAAGAACTATCATACAATGGGACAGTAGAACGTCGAGTTCTATTCACAGAAGATGATTTTCATCGAGTCAATTTAAAACCGGAAGAAGCAACCGATCTAGCCATCTTAGCTCCTGGAGGAATTTATCGTAAACTTTTCCAAGGAATACACCTTCTTTACTTTCAACATCAAAGTATTCAAGAAATGCTCACATCTTTCTACATTCTTGGACTGGATTTAAAATCTTTTGACCAGTTCGTAGATAAACATCTCCATACCGGTCACTTTGTTCTCATCAGAAAAATGATGTGTGGACTTTTATTAAATCCAACAGTTTATGAAGAAGCCGGAGATTTACTTGGAGGTATGTTGATGTACAGTGTTTAACATAGTACAATTCCAGGCTTGGAGTCGTCTTGGAGTCTTCTCTAGACTCAACCTTGGATATTTTACTGCATTGGATATACACATTTATGGCTTATAAGTTTAATATTTTATAAACTAAACCTAATTTATTACTCATGTTACTTGAAATTGATAGGAGCAGATTTTTTTTATTTTTCAGGTATGAAAACTTGCTTGTTTGCATTTTTAATTAATTAGCCAATGCGATGACCCAGCGGTTGAAGTATTAGACTCGGCCAACCCTTTTGGCATCATAGGCTACACATCTCATGTAAAAATCCCATGTCTGTTTCTTCATTAATTTTAAACCAGACTGATTCCTGTCCTTTCAAAGGCAGCTAGTTAATACATATCATTAGATATTATGTGGATGCTTGTACCATGAATAAAGCCATGAATAAGCATTGTATAAAAAATTGGGTTGTTCCGGAAGTATTCGTACCAAGATGACGCACAACCTGAACAACCCTGACCTGGTACACATGCTATGTTCAGGTTGTGCGCCATCTTGGTACGAATACTGGTACAAATTGTTACATTGATACTGTAATTCTTGTCCATAGTGTTCAGATGCTACTATGAAGCTCTGTGTAAAACAAACAAAATGTAGCCAAGTAGTATTCTCACAAATGACATCTTACTCTAGAATTAAACCAAAGATTCTAGATCAGGAGAATCTGGAGTGCAATGACAAGCCTGATCATACTCTAGTCCGAAAAATATACCTGACACATGAATGCAACGAGGTGTGGCATGTTATTGCCCAATATTGTGTACATCAGTGGTTCCCAAACTTTTTAGCCTTGTTACCCCCTTTGAATATTTTGTAACATGCCGCAACCCCTTTTCACGATATATGCACAATTTAAATTAGTAGGTCCCTCGAAAGAAAGGATATTGAGTCCAATGCGTTACTGCAAAATAGGTATCTTGAATCAATACAAATACTATCAGTTATTAAATTACCCCGTTATCCCTAAAATAATTTTTTTTTAACTGTCTTTGACTGCACTCACTACATAACTCGTACTTTCATGTTACTCATTTCATAGAGAGTTTGCCTTCTGTGGACTTCACATTTCCAACATTTGAATTGATATTAGAAATTGAAAACGAGAGCCCTTACAGTTGCCTAATTGACACGCAACAAAAAAAATGAACAACTTAGATGAAATTTTGAACCGCCACTGTTTTTTGTCTAATAAAATTTGAACACACAAGTGGTAAAATTCTACACTTATTGCAATGCTTCTCAACCGAGGAAGAATTCCGCCCAAAAAATGCTTGATCACTTGAACTTTGCAAAAATGGGAATGCAGCTTGAACATTTCATCGAAAAGCGGCCAATTATTAGTGATTCAATAAATAATATAGTATTCATAGAAAGAAAATAGGTAAAGGGGGAAATCATAAAAAAGATGTTGGGAATCACAGACTCATGGTCAAATTAAAATGTGTTCTGTCTACAGATAATATGTCATGGTGGTTAAGATTGTTCTGAACTGGGAGACCTTAGTTTGGGATTGGTCAACCCAAAGACTTTAAAATTAGTTTCCATAGTTCCTCATTTTTAATTTTTCCGCCAATAAACAAATTTATTTTTTCCACCACTGATTAGGATTTTATAGAAAAAGTAACTCCTCAGGTTGGGAACCAATTATGTACATTAATTAACTATGGCTGACTAGATTTGGCCTTCCACTTACCGTAATAATTTTTATATGGAGCTTATTCAAGTCTTTTATTGCGCTGAACAAGGCCTTGTATAAGCAGCCACCAATATTAAAACATAATTAGGGAGCTACTATTATTTGGAGAGTGTGGAATCTTTCTGGTCCGGCATTGCTTACCCAATTTTTTTCACTCTGGGGGGGATGGAGGGCAGGGGATTTGGACCTGAAACTTATGTGAAAAGATCAATGTTATTATTGTGTCGGCTGTTGTCGAACGTTAGCCAATTATTCAGAGACAAGCATCATCGGTAGATGCTCTGTAAATTATTTGATAATTTAATAAATGTAAATAATTTTTATTTTTTATTTTCACAGAAATCAAGAATCTTGAGGAAAAGCAAGATATTCTCGAGAAAAGTTTGCAATTGCAACTCGAAGAAGTATCAGACAAATCAGATATTTTGGAACTTTTCGCTGCATTGAACGAAGCCAAGGATGGAATGAGTGACATTGTCAAATCATCTCTTGGTAATATTGACATGTCTCACTATCCTCTCTCCATCAGTGATGTTCATGTCATTGGATCAGTAGCTTCCTACTGTACATCACTATCAATGATTTTCCAGGATTGTGATCTCAAGTCAGCCTCACTTCAAACTCTGGCATCTGAATTGAAAGGATCAAATGTGAAGGTGAGTAGCTTGTGTGATTAAGTACAAAATATGTTTCACTTTTTTTAGACATAGTTTGATAAAGACTTACTGACTATAAAATGTGTGCAAAACACCATATACCGGTAGTCGAATTTTTTAGATTAAATTCTTTAAAGTGTGTTCTTGTTTTTTGACTTTAAATAAGGCTTTATGCGAACATCAAGTGATATTTAGTGAGTTACTGCTATACAATAATATTTTACTATGTGCCATTATATTCCATATGTTCCAAATTATATATCAGAATCTTTTTAGTTTGAAAGTTCTCACAGAATTGTTACGCACAGAGTTATATGGTGGACCTGGGATTTGAATCCAAAATCTTTGCTATGGCTTTCAAAACCCTCTAATTCCGGGGGGTATTTTTGGGGTAATTTGTATGATTTTGTATGGTCAGCTTCTAGTTTTATATCATTGTCAATCGTTAGGCCCTAGAACGTCGCTCATGGCTTTGCAAATGCGTACGCTAGAGTTCTATTCCGTGAGATGTCGCTAGTGCGAGGTTTCAGAATATTTCCTTGTATATGCGACATAATGCTCAAAAATTTGTAAAAAATACCCTTGAACTTGAGTGTTATTGTGCCTAGTAGTTAATTATAGTTAATTAATTTTAGTTCTATCGTTTTTTTTTTGTGTTATTTTCCAACAAAACAACACTACAACCATTATTTTAGCTGAAATTGTTACAGAGAAATTCACAAATGTATTTACACAATTTACAAATTCAACAATGAACTTGACAATTTGATGACGTCACACCCTAAATTATACCCAATTATTACTGCACAGAGGCTTCCTAATGCAACAAATGTTATTTCTTTCAGCGCTAACGATGTAAACAATCCAATGTGCGGCGTTACAATGAAATCATGATTAATTTTACATTATATTTTACAAGGTTTACTATGTTTTAATTTTCACCACCCCCTCCACCGAGCATAGTTTAGTACAAAATTCGAAATTATCATTCAAAATATAACAAGGCCAAGGATGGAATGATTGACTGAAAATAATGGCCAACTCAATACTAAGTCATTATAACAAAGTTAGGGCTAACAATTCTTATCTGGGTTATAGTTGGTTCTTGGCAGCTTTCCAAAGCTCTGACTCAACATTTTCAAATAGATGCTTTTCATACTTTGGATAGTTTCTGAGAAGGCTAAAGCATTTTATTGCCTTGGCTCACCACAGTCATTTACATATGTAGGTGGTCAGTGTTTGCTCTAAAGAAATTATGAGTGCAAAGGTGCTTCGCAAGTCTAAAAGAAATTGCGAAAGTGTCCTGGCTAATTTTAACAAGTTATGTGCCCTGGCCGAGTTTAAAATAATTAATTATTTTTTTAAATATACCGGTACTTGATACTCAAAAAGAGGTTGTGCCTCTAAGAAAGGATATATTCGCGGGCTGTCTGATAGAGTCGCAAAATATTCATATTGTTTTGTGGGTAATTTGCGAATAGTCGAATTGCCTCTCACATGACTAGGTTCCCGATATTTCTCTCACATTCATATTCCGCGAATAATGTTATGTCGTCATTGTCTCAGGCCTGATGGCATGTAGTTAGCCACATCATATAGGCTTGTGACTAATTTAAAAAGTTATTATTGAAAACCAGGAACTAAAATGACATTTTTGAGAGAGTAAACAGTCAGAAAAGGCAATTTAGCTTTGTCAGAAAAGCTCGTTCTATAAATAGCATTGATCTGTAGCTATAGAATGGTAGTAAAAGTAGCGCTTTATTATCGAAGATATACGCTCGATACATTATGAGGATTGTGCTGAAAAAATGTTGTGAAATATGAGGAAGATCATCAAATATACCTTACAATTTCTCTACAATGGTTTTAGCATAATAATAATTGTGGAATAATTTTGCATCTACCTTCGTCAGTCGCCTCCGTCAGTGGCGTATCTAGGGTGTGGCAGCAATAGCTTGGGCGTCGTTTAGAAAGGGCCGGAAAAACTTTTGATTGTAAAATTTTCAATAAGATAATTTCAAGCGGCTTTGCCATTAGCGTTATTTTACACAGATACGTCACTGGTCTCCGGAGATTATTTTGTGTGCCCTATTTTAAATGAGTTGACGGCAATCAAATATCGTTGTTCGATCTTCATTGTTTAAAAAATATGCTAAATACAGTATCGGGTATTCGCCGAGAGGTAAACGGATGATATAGCACTATCTGGAATGCGGCAGACCCAGCATGAAATATATGCACCCAGATGTAGCATGCGGCAATTCCATATATGACATATATGATATCAACAAATGTAATTAGGAATAGGAATGAGTTTTTTTCTGCGAACGTACAAAAAAGGTTTAGGGTTGACCCCGCCCCTCTCACCCTTTTGAAATTTTTGCAAAGATGAAAAATATTGCTAATAACGCATGAGATTGTATTTTGTCAAAATTGCCAGCGTTAAATTCGTTAGCGTGACGTGTTATTTATGACTTGAACATCTTTATTTCTGTGTTTATTTATTTTTTTTGTTTTCGCACAGGGCTGTGAGTTATTGTTACATCATATTCTTCAGCGACAAGTTGCTAAATATAAATGGAGGTGTGAATCCTCAACCCAAATTTTCTTAATTGCAAACCGGCAATATAAAACACTAAAAATAAAACGCTAAACATGACAATTTTTGTTTTAGGATGGCTGGCAACATATTAAAAATGATTTTTTAGACACTGCAAATGGCAAAATTTTGTGTCACTCCAGCATCCATTTTTGTTTTCTAAAACTACTGATGGGGCCTGACGTATATAAGAGAATTAATGTATATCGATTGATTTTTTTGAAATAAATATCGCAGACTACAGGATTTTTCTTAGGTGATATCCTAAAAATATTGCATTGCACCATTGCGATGGAGCTGAGTTTGGTGTTGTGGAAACATCTCAGATTTGACGAATACACAAAAATACGAATCAAAACAAACTATAATCGTGCAATTTACTACACAATTTTTATATCCGAGGATTGCCGTGGTATTTCTAAGGAGAAATGCTTTCATTTCGTCAACACAACCGCAGATTAAATTGATCCAAATTAAATTAATAAACCACCCCACTTCGAAATTCCTGTATCGGTTATGGATTGAATATTTTATACAATAGAAAAATAATTATATATCCTTTGGAAATGTCGGCTCTTTTAACAAGTGACGTAATTGGGAGGATTTCTTCAGAAGTTTCGCGAGAATTTCGAGGCAATGAATATGTATTTTTAATGCACTAATGTATTTTTGATGTACCAAATTACATTGTACTTTTTTGGATTCAATGACAGATATTTTCTAATGGCGATAACGATTTCGCAAGATTGCAATAATGTATATCAAAACTAAATGCAATCGGGCAGCTTGTTGTCTTACATTAATATGTTTGCAGATTGCCATGGTATTTTAAATTAGTAATGCTTTTATTTTTTCGTAAGTCGAGGCAACTGCAAGTTAGCTTGAACACAATTGAATTAAAATAGAAAGACATTTTAAATTCTTGTCGTTGTCATGTATTAAATTGTACGCGACAGAAAAGGTCATAATACAAAAAAATCGCACATGCCTGTAATGTATTGTTACTAGCTTTTCTTAAAATATCATCAAAGGAAATAAAATGAACGATTTCTAACTTAACTAGAAATAAATTTCATTGTTTCACTGATTGTGTGATTTTGGTAAATAGGTTTCATCTAACTATCGGGCATATTCAAGTTTGAAAAACTGTTTTTGTGGAAAAGGATTAATCTTGGAAATATTGTAATAATTTAGTTTTTCATTATTGTATTTAATACTATTATTTTAGCTGTAGTCAGGGCTGGATTTATACTATGAGAGCCAGTCTTAAGCGATGCCATTCATGAGGCCAATTTCAAACTATTTTATGATGGCATAAAGGTTTCATAGAATCCACTGTGATGTCAAAATAAGCATTTCTATATGTAGTGTATATAACAACAGTGGGCGAATGGCGGCTCGACATAGTTTTTATGCGACTCTTCTCACTAGAATTTATTATTATCCAAATGTAGTGTAACAGTTTTTTTAATTAATTAAGCTGTAGAAGAAGTTTTCTTCAATGATTAAAACAAATTATGTTTTAATATGAAAATCGTTGTGGCATGGAATTTTAAATTAGTCAAGAGACAAATCTTACGTCACAATGGTTAAATGTGTGTTGCTGCGCTGGCGGCATTGTAGCTTGATTGCGGGTAGTGTCAAATACAGTGCGATATGTCCCCTAGTATGAAGCGAAAATACGACGATGAGAACATGGTCGTTAAGTCATAATGGAAAGATGAGTACGCATTCACTAGTGAAGAAAATAAACCTTTGTGCTTAATCTCTCATAAGCTGCTAAGTCAGAATAAAGTTGTTGAACGGTACCATGAAAAGAATCACAAAAACTTCGTATGAGATTACGCTCGTTAATCATCTTTTAGGAAAACACAAATTGAATGACTTTGAATTATTACTAAAACGATAGCAGAAATTTGTGATATCATCTGGCAAGGAATCTGATGCAACAACTGAAGCTAGTTTTGTTATTTCGTGGAATTGCTCGTGCCAAACACCCATACTCTGATTGTATTTTGTGAAAACAAAAATATTGCTGATGTTGCCGCAGTCAATAGCCCAAACGCCTCACGAATATATACAAAGGCACATTCCCATATTAGAACCAATGTAACAGTTACATTGCAAACGGATTTGACGAGCTCCAGTATTAATAATTTCAAAAATTGTGCGGCTTTCACATATTTCTGGCTTGCTGCATGCGGCTCCTATACTAAAAAATTTCGCCAACCTCTGGTATATAACGTCTTAAATAAACTATTGACTTGTGTGAGCTACGACATTTTGGTTGCAGGCAAGAAACATGCTCTAATCACCCAAATAGATGGGATAGCAGGTTCATTTTAAAATTATTTAAGAAACTTGAGCTGCGATAAAACGGCATTCCATTAGAAAACCTGTTTCTAGTCGTGAGAAGGGAATGTGTGTGACGGGGAATGCTTCCCAATTGATGGTTTAAAACATTCAAAAAAGTATCATTGTATTTTTTGAAATAATTTAGTCCACAATAAAAAACATCCAAGTTAGTGAAAATATAATAATTTTAGATAAATTAGTTCAGTTACATATTGGTAATTTTTTCCTATTCAATAAATAAAGGAATTATTTAGTGAAAAATGGTTAATTAATTTAAATTAGTATAATATTTTTTTTTCAAAATTTAATGTGTTCAATTTTGATTGGAATAAAAATGAAATCGTGCAATTTGAAAAGCCAAGGTATGGCTTTAGGCCCCTAGGCTTTAACCCACTTTTGGTATTCTGTTACTCGCTGACAATGAGAGCAATACAAAGCCAAAATCCCCAATCGGTTCACCTTAGTTTGAGGTATTAGAACGTTGGATGAGTAATATTTAAACAAAGCTTCATGAAATTTTAATGAAAAAAATGTAGGTTTTTGATTCATTAATTTTTTCTATGACCGAGGCTCTTTCCGAGCAGTCACTGTGATAAAAAATGCTTTACAGAAAGAATATTCCTAATCAAGCTTTGCAAGTTTATTAAAAAATATTTTAATCAAAGCTTTGTGGAATTAATGAGCTAACTGAAGGTTTTGATCCTTTTGTTATTGCTCTAAACAAGGTTTTGCATAGCCAGTCACTGATACTTGAGATTTGTTATGTGAATCATGTAAAATAATGTTTTCGATTATTAAAAATTTCAGATCAATTTTAGATCAATTAATTTTGAACATTTCTGGGCTCACACACTTGTTGAGTCAATTGGTTGAAAAAATTTTCTCAAAAATGACCCGTATAAGAATGAGATGAACATTTTTGCGTCAGCATTGACAATCCAATTTCAGCATTCTTTACTTAAACTTGAAATCTTTGGACTTGATATATTTCGACATAATTTGGTGAAGACTTAGTGAGCACTCAGCATATAACATGGAAACACAATGTGGAGAAGTTTTTGATATCAAATTCTGCAAGTTGTGTTTTCATGTCTCTTGTTTGAACAAGGATCTAGGAAATTGCAACTGCGATTTAGCGAGATACTACTATATATAGAACAGTTGTTCCCAACCATTTATTGCTCGTGGTGTGGCCCTTTCCTGAGGCGGTTAGCTCTCATGCAACCGACCCCTCATTTCATGATCCCAGTGGTATTTATAGTGTTATTTTGATTGGTATATTTCAAATTCCATCATGTTCAATTAGTTCATTCTCAACAAAGAGTGAAAACACCCTGTGGAGTAAGCTCATCAAGATATGTAACAAAAAAAATCAGGGAATTCTTTTCAGAAGGGAATAGTAAAATCAGTTTTACACTCAGTATTGTGGCCTCGAAGTCCAAACTATGAAACATTTAAACCAGGGGTGGGCGCGGTTTTTAAAAGAGGGGCCAAAAACCTTGCCTACTTAGACTGGCGGGCCATGAAAGTGTGACGTAAAAAGTTACATTTTATGAACAATATTTACAGTATTACAAAGCAAAGTTGGAAAACGATATACCTCTCGCCATAACTAAATTTAACCGCAATCCCAAACAATTCCTTGAGCTATTTTGAGCTAAAACATCAAAATTTGATTTTAGTTTGGTTGTGGCAGCATCGGGCGGGCCAGATATTACTCAACGGGTCGGATTTGGCCCACAGGCCGTACTTTGCTCATGTCTGATTTAGACAATGGAATGGTCATAACATTAATTTTAGTTAATGACACTTTTTATTCAGCAACTCTATATCTTTTGATTAGGATTTCAAAAACTAAATACTATCATTTTAAATTAATCTCTGTTCCCAACATATGTGAAAATGTGACAGCACAGGTCCCAGTGATGTTTCCACATATGATGCCAATGCATGATCTGTTGCTGATTTCGCTATTTTTTAATTAATAATAACTTTGAATATTTTATATTTCTTTGGGTAAGCTTTTAGGTTTTAAGCAGTGGCTTTTTTTTTTTTACTTTTCAAAATTTTTTTACATTTTGCCCAATGAGATTATTTTTCAACAATCTTATTATGATTTAAAATTGTTCTTGTTTATTATAGATCAGGGAGTTGTGGCTGGCTGAAAACACAAACATGGGAGTTGAAGGTTTAACTTCAGTTGGACAAATACTTTCCAATCAATCCAGTGTTGAAGATTTGTACCTTAACAACTGTAACCTGTTATCAGATCAATTACAAGCTTTCAAATTATCATTTGGGAATAACACAGAGGTGTGACACAATGCTCTACTTATAGTTACTTTCTTTTAGCTCTATTATATAGCAATACCTGTGATATATTATTAATTGCTTTTCGTGGAGTAAACTATTACAGAAAGTTAAATAATATGAATGATTTCTAACTTATTTATAGATGACCAAAGCTAGGTTGCCTGAAAAATTTTCTTTGGGTGAAGGTTTTTTCAGCAAAGACCAAAACGTTATTATTTCATATTTTTTGGTAATTTTTATCATTTATTCTATAGTTGGTGTTGAAGTGTTTCTTAATAGTATCGTGTAAAAATCTTGACAGCATTTATTTTGCTCAAGTAAAGCCCCAAAAACTCGCTAATATTGTCAAATGCGTGCAGTTTTCCCACTTTAATGTAAGAAGTAAAGAAGAATGGAGAAGTAAATGTTATGAAAAAGGTAAAATGGATGTTTTTTTATATTAGTCATTTACTTGTGTAGTCATAAAATTACTAGGCCCACATTTCGTTTAGTATTTATCATCCTTGGGTCGCAATATTTTACAAAATTTATTTTCTAAAAAAAATTGGGTCACTTGGAAAAAAGGTTGGTAACCACTGGAGTATATGTCATATATAATAATTTAACTGTGTCGAATTCAACATTTTAGTTGCAGGCAAGAAATATTCTCTAATCTCCTAAGTAGATGGGGTAGCAGATTATTTTCAAAATCTTTGTGAAACCTAGGCATGATAAAACGTTATTGCACCTGAAAAACCTGTTTCTATTTGTGAGAAGTATATGTGTGTGATGGGGCATGACCGAAAAAAGGAAGAATTTTGCCCAAGAGAAGAATTTTGCCATTTGGAGGGAGGAATTTTACTTCGAACTGAGTACATATTGTCCAGCACAAATATTTAGTTTTTCATATTAAACTGTACCAAAACGGAAATCTAACTTGCGCATTATATCAGCAGGGTCCAAGCGGTCCGTTAAAATTGAATAAATAAAAAAGTTTTATTCATAGAGAGGGATGAAGGAGTTTAGAGGGATGAATTTAATAAAAAATAGGGGAACCACAGACTTATAGTCAAATTAAAATGTGGGCTGTTAACAGATACGATGTCATGGGGGTAAGTGTATTTTGGAGTGGGTCTAGGATCTGGACTCTAGAATCAGGAACCTAAGCCTTAGAATAGGTTTCCAGTGTTTCTCCTTTTTCAATTTTTTCGTCTATACCCAAATTAGGATAGATTTTATAGCAAAAAGTGGTACATAAAATTAGTATGTTCCACGACCCCTTGTGGGTCGCGACCCCCAGGTCGGAAACCATTGTACTATAGCCATTCAAGAAGTTTTGTTACGCGACACAATATTGTTTGGTAACAGAATGTAAATTCGGTCAGATATACCACCTACTACTTCCATCGTTATTTTACTAATTCACTAAAGCGGAAAGCGATCCGCAACGCCGGGTAACACTTCTGGCCTTAAGCCAGCATCATTCGGTCGCCGACAATCCACTCTGAAGATGGTATAAGGCGTGGAATTTGACTGGGGTGTTACATCCGTTGAAGGGTAACTCTGCGACGACGGAAATCTCAAATAGAGCCAATGCTCACTTGATTCCGATTTTCAGTTTTTTTCGATTGTGATCCAATGAGTGAGAGGGCCTTTTTATTTTTACAACAAACAAAGCGAATTTAACCATGTCACAGAAAAACAGATACGTGTTGTCGAAAGAAGTGGTATGCATATCTAACCCAGGACACAATCACTATCAATAAATAAGACGAATCATCAGGCATGGAAAAAAAATTTGATTTAGGAATATTGCAATATACGCAATTGAAAGTTTTGCATTTTGTGCACAACTAAATGATGATACATGTGAGATTTATGCACATGATCGGTCATATCATGACTGGATGTTTCGGCCCCAAGCTGGGATTTTCAAGAGGGCACCCTGGATTTTCCTGGGAGGTCCAAAATCGGATGCACGTTTGTTGATAGAGTCAACTCTTTATCTTATAAAGTTTCATATAACCTTTTCTGTCGCGTTATATTCAATCCATGACAACGACAAGAATTTAAAATGTTTTTCTATTTTATTTAATTGTGTAGCTTGCGGTTGCGTTGACAAAATAATACCAATCTGAAATACCACAGCAATCTGCGGACATGATATTTTGGGCTAGGCTGCCCAATTGTATTTAGTTTTGATACATATTTTTGCGATCTTGCGAATTCGTTATTGTCGTTAGAAAAATCTCAAGAGCTGCTATAAATCCCTGAAAATATAATTGTATTCAGTACATTATAAATACATTGATATATCAAAAATACATATTCAACTCCTCGTAATCCTAGCGGTACTTCTGAAGTAATCGTCTGCATTACGTCACTCATTAAAAGAGCCGACTTTTTAGTGCATATGTAATGATTTATCTGTTGCATAGAATATTGAACTCGTAAACAATACGGGTATTTCAAGAAATGATTGCTCTATTATGATAATTGTGATTATTTTAGTCTGCGGCTGTGTTGACGAAATAAAAGCATGTCTCCTCAGAAAATAATGTGGCAAACTGCCACATTCGTTATTGCCGTTAGAAAAATCTCAAGAGCTGCTATAAATCCCTGAAATGATAATTGTATTCAGTACATTATAAATACATTGATATATCAAAAATACATATTCAACTCCTCGTAATCCTAGCGGTACTTCTGAAGTAATCGTCTGCATTACGTCACTCAATAAAATAGCCGACTTTTTAGTGCATATATAATGATTTTTCTGTTGCATAGAATATTGAACTCGTAAACAATACGGGTATTTCAAGAAATGATTGCTCTATTATGATAATTGTGATTATTTTAGTCTGCGGCTGTGTTGACGAAATAAAAGCATGTCTTCTCAGAAAATAATGTGGCAAACTGCCAACATAAAGGTGTGGTTAAAGTCCCAACCCTAAAATGGCAACCCTAAAACAAAATGTGACATGCTCTCCGATTTATTTTTAGTATTTTATATTGCTGTTTTTCAATCTAGAAATTTGGGTTGCGGATTCACTCCTCTATTTGTATTTATCATCTTGTCGCTGATGATTATAATAATAACTCAGTTCCGTGTGAGAACCAAAAAAAAGTAATTATGGTCGTCCTCGTGGCACAACACTTATATCGGGGCAAATTTGTGATTTAAAGGTCAATGAACTCCGAAATAAAGACTTCATACACACCACAGTAAATGGCAAAGTAACACCCAAATGCATGTTATGCCTAAACAATCTGAGCAATGACGCTATGAGATAACACTCTTACAGCTCCACCTTATTATAAAGAAACCTGCCCATTACAAGAGTATTTTTCAGAGCAAAAAGTTGGGGGTGCAAAGTTTGTAAATTTTTTCAAAAGTGCGCAAAGTTTAAAAAGTTAAAGTGAACACTGCTAGGCTCACACACTTGGTGAGTCAATTGGTCAAACAAAATTTGAAAAATGACTCATCTGAGAATGATCTGAACATTTTTTTATTTCTTTTATTTTAATCTTCTAAATATTGAGTTTTGCGTTATTGCTTTTTATACATGAATGCTTGTTATAGTCAGGGCGAGTTTAGACAATGAGAGCTAGCCCCAACCATTGATTGTTTGATTTTCTATTTTTTACATTTTTCATAAATTAAATTTAAATTGTGAGATTTGCTTGATGTAATAAATTTTGAATAGAACTATTCTAAATTATTACAAAAATCAATGATTAGAAATGTTGATTGTGATCAATTTTAGATAAATTACTTTTAAACATTCCTGTGCTCAGATTCAAATTCATGCTGAACAAATTCAGATTCATTATTTGGTTCTTTAGAATTCACTGTGATATCATCGTAAGCCATTCTATGTTCAGAGTATATTGATGTTTCTCAACCTAGAGTTCGTGATCCAAAGCTAGGTTGCCAGGAAATTTTCTTGGGGTGTAGGTTTTAACAGCAAAGACCTAAAAGTAACTAATTCACATTTTTTAGTACCCTAGTTTTTATCGTTTATTTTATAATTGGTATTGAAGTGTTTCTCAATAGTACTTGCATATGTGGGAAGTATCACCACATAAAAAACCCACATGTCATTTGGTATTTGAGTATATCCTTGGGTCGCAATATTTTCCAAATTTATTTTTTTTCTCAAATTTGGTTTGTGGAAAAAGGGTTGGTAATCACTTAACTATATGTCATATATAATTTAGTAAATGTGTAAAATTCAACATTTTAGTTGCAAGCTAGAAATGTGCTATTATCACCCAAGTAGATGGGATAGCAGATTTATTTAAAAATGATTTATGAAATTTAGTCTGTGATAAAACGTCATTGCACTGTAAAATCTTTTTATATTTGTGAGAAATATATGTGTGTGATGGGTAATGGCCCAATTGACAATTTATAACATTGAAAGAATTATTGTTGCATGTTTTGAAATATTTGGTCTACAATAAAAAAAATCCGAGGGAACAATTAGTTTAGCTATATATCGATATTTCTTATTTATTAAAAGAAATCATTATTGAGTAAAACCTATTTAATTAATTTAAATTACCGTAGTATACTATTTATTGACTTCAAAATTTAAAGGGTAGAATTTTGATTTTGAAAAAAAAATAAATAATGTTTCAAATTGGGAAGCCGAGGTTTGGCTTGAGGCCCCTAGGTTTAGCCTACTTTGCATAATGGTAAATCCGGCAGTTGCTGTAGTTACTCATTGAGAATAAGATTAATGCAAAGATTAAAGGCCTCAATCTTTCTAAAATCAGTTTGAGATATTAGAACGTTGGATTTATATTTAAATGCAGCTTTATATTGAATTTCAAAGAAAAAAACTGTATATTTTTGATTCAATAATTTCCTCTCTGAGCAGGGCCCTTTCAAGTAGTCGCTTTGTTAAAAAAATGCTGTACGGAAAGAATAATCCTAATCAAGCTTTGCAAGTTCATTCGAAAATTTCTTAAACAAAGCTTTGTGAAATTCTAATGGGTTAACTGAAGGTTTTGATCTTTTTGCTATTGCTCTGAACAAAACTCTGCATAACCAGTCGGCAGTCACTAATACTTGAAGTTCGTTATGTAAATCATGCAAAATAATGTTTTTGAATATTGAACAACTGATTTGAAACCAAGTTCAGCAAAGAATATATTGTAGTCCTAAATATGTTGAGGGGATAAACCACTGGATTGATTGATTTTCTATTTTTCACATTTTTCATAAATTAATTGGCATTTTTAGTAGGGCTGTCCAAGCGAACCGAATATTCGAAATTGAATCGAATCGCAAATTATTCGAAGCGTTTTTCGGCCAATTTACGAATCGCTAAAATTTGGTACATGATGCGCTTCACAACCACCTTTGCACCGCGTTTTTCACGGGGCAAAAACATGTTTTCATCGCTTTCTATGCTGTAAAAAGGTCTCTCCTATTGCCCGGTGACATGTAATTATCTATTCCATGCATCGTCATAAATGAAAAGTTATCCGTAACAATGATTTAAAGATGACGTTTTTTGAGAGAACACAAGGAGAAAAAGACAAATTTTGTGTCAGCCAAAAACGAAAGTTCTATAAATAGAATCGATTTGTTGCTGTTGAGTCAGTAATCATAGGAACATGGTACAGGACTGAAACACGTTAGGGAGGTCCAATATCTTTTTCCAATATAATTTGTAATTTCTTCTAATGGCAATACTTTGTTTCATCCATTTATTACTATGACAAATAATTGCACTCTTGTGAGTTGATGGCTGTTGTACAGCAACAATATGGTCATCAAATATTAATGTCATCAAACTAGCTCTGAATTTGTGAGTTCCCGAAATGCAATTTTGAATTTTTTTGGCAACAGTTATATCTATATTAATAGTTGTTTATTTTTTCACTGAAAATTACACAAAAAATATTGAGTTAATAATACTAATGATAATAGGACTGAAATAGCAACTACGGTCATTAAAAGAGTCTGTGCAATTTTCAACTCTTACTTGATAGTTTTCAAAACCCTAATTTTTGACCAGTTTAAGGAGGCTTGTGATCTTCTTTCATAACTCTGGAAACATAGTTATGCAAAATATTTGCAATAATTTAGATATCACTGCACATACGTTATCACAATATTGAAGAGGAAGTTTTTATGGTACATTAGAGACAAGTTTAGGATTGCGCAATAATATTCGATTATTCGGTTCGATTCAAATCAAAAAAATATTCAATTTTGTACAGTCCTAATTTTTAGCCATATTGCGAGATTTACTTAATGTACAGTAATAGTTTTTGATGGAACTATCCTAAATTATGACTGACATCAATAATTAGAAATGTAGATTGTAATCAATTTTAGATCAATTAGTTTTAAACATTCATGGGCTTACACACTTGGCGAGTCAATTAATTGAAAAAATATTCTCAAACATGACCCGGATTTCGGATCGGATTCACAGACCCATCTGAGATTGACCTGAATATTTTATTGACTATCAAATTTGTCGGACGCTGTGTAATGTATCATAGACCGGAAGTTGAAACCTTGAAATATTTGAACTGTGGTTCAAGAATTATTGACATTTTTAGTAATTTAGTTTTTGACTCCAGTTATTTTACATCTTTTGGTTGGGATTTCCAAAATAGAACTATCATGTTAAACTCATCTCCGACTAAAATATAGGTGAAAAAATATCTGTCCATGTTACAGTGCTGTTTCTATCTCTGATGCCAATGCATGATCTGTTGCGAATTTGGTTTAAGCCTAAAAATATTTTATTCTTTTTTGTCTATGCTTTGGTATTTCAATATTTTAACACATCTTCAGTGACTTTTTTCTTTTTTTAATCTACCAACAAGATTCAGAACAGACTAATTATGATCCTCAATCATTCTTGTTTTCTTATAGATCAAGAACATGTGGCTTAAAGCCAACACAAAAATGGGAGTTGAAGGTTTATCATCAGTTGGACAAATACTTTCCAATCAATCCTGTGTTGACAGTTTGGACCTTGAGAGATGTAACCTGTCATCAAATCAACTACAAGCCTTCAAATTATCGTTGGGAAATAACACAGAGGTGTGGCACATTGATTTACTTATAGTAGCTTTTCTTTGAGTTTTATTATATAGCAATATCTGTAAGGTATTGTTACTTGCATTTCGTTGAGTAAACTATCATGAAAAGTTAAATGAAATGAAGGATTCTTACCTCATCTAGAGATAAATTTCATTGTTTCCCTGATTTGGCAATTTTGGTAAAAAGGGAAGGAACATCTAACTACCGGGGCATAATTAGTTTAACAAAATTGTTTTTGTGGAAAAAGGTTAATCTTAGAAATATTGTATAGTTGAATTTTCTGTTATTACATTTTATACATTTATGCTAGCTGTAGTCAGGACGATATTTTAACCATGAGAGCCAGCCCTAGGCTATGCCATTTGTGGGGAGCCTTTTAAACTATGAAGTCATAAAGGTTGCTTACAATCCACTGTGATGTCATCATAACCAAACTTAGGCTGTGATAAAACGTTATTGCACCAGAAAACCGTTTTCTACTCGGGAGAAGTATATGTGTGTGACTGGGAATGGCCCAATTGCTGATTTAGTCCATTAACAAAATTGTCATTGCATTTTTGAAATATTTGGGTCTACAATAAAAAAGCTTAATATTAATATACCGGTAATCATTTTTAGATAAATTAAATTAGCTAAATGTATATCAATATTTTTTTGTTATTAGAAAAAGCATTATTGAGTAATAACTTCTTAATTAATTTAAATTAGTACGGTATACTATATATTGTCTTGAAAATTGAAGGGGTTCAATTTTGATTTGAATGAAAATAAATAATATTGTATTTGAAAATATATATGCCGATGTTTGGCTTGAGGCCCCTAGGCTTTAACCCACTTTACCTAAAGGCAAGTCTGACCCTCGCTGTAGTATTCTGTTACTCACTGACAATGAGAGCAATACAAAGCCGAAATCCCCAATCTTTCAACTTTATTATGAGATTTTAGCACCTTGTATGAGTAATATTTAAATGAAGCTTCGCGGAATTTTGATTGATGATTTTGATGGAATTTTGATTTGAACAATGATTTATATACAGGTGGGAAAAGTGTGGTTTCTTTGTCATTCATCGAATTCTTCTCTTTATTTATGTGAAAAGATTCGAGAAATAGTCTTCTCCTGTATTGAGTTTCTTTTTCTCGTATCCTGCTATTTTCCCAGTCGATGCTATGGTTATTAGAAAGGACGTGTTTCGAAAAGGCCGACTTGTCAATTTTCTTTTGTTTAATATCTCGTAGATGTTCCTTGCTGCGAGTTTCCAGGCTTCTTTTGGTTTCTCCAATGTAGACTGAAGAACAATCGCTGCATGGGATTGCATATACAACTCCGTTTTTTTGTTTAGGTCATGGGCGGTTTTTGACGTTGGAGAGCAATTGGCCGATAGTGTTTTGGGGTTTAAAACTTACTCTAATTTTACCGTCTTCCAAAATTCTTCGAATTTTTTCACTTAGTCCTTGGACATACGGAATGGTGGTAGATGCGATTGGTTTGGGTTTATCAGGCGGTTTTCGGAGATTTACATGATTTCTGAACATTTTCGTTGGATATCCATTTTGTCGTAAAGTCTTCTTAATGAAATTTATTTCTTGTTTCTGCTTTGTTTCATCTGATATAAGAGTTTTGGCACGATTCATAAGACTACTAACCACTGAACGTTTATGGTTAAGCGGGTGGCTAGAGTTAAAATTAAGGTAGCGATTAGTATGGGTCTTTTTCCTAAATATATCAGTCGTCAATTCTCCATTTCCTTCTCTCTGTATCTGGACATCTAAGAAGGTTATTGTCCCATTGACTTCTTTTTCTATGGTAAATTTTATGCTTGGTTCGATCGTGTTGATGTGGTCGTGGAACGCGTCACAAAATTCCTCTTTGATTATGTTGAACGTATCATCAACATATCTTTCCCAGATTCTTGGGCCATTCGGAAAAGACGTTAAGGCTCTTTCTTCCACATCTTCCATGACCATATTGGCAACAACGACCGAAACAGGAGAACCCATGGATGTACCGAAAATTTGTTTATAGTGCTCCCCCCTAAAGCTCAGATTGGCCGTACTTAAGCAAATAGTCAAGGCCTCGCAAATTTGGTCAATTGATAGTTTCGTCCTATCTTTCAGGTTATTATCATCTTCTAGTCGTTTCCGAGTTACTTTTAGCGCTACATCAATTGGAACATTGGTAAAGAGTGAAACTACGTCGAAAGATACCATTATTTCATCTGGGGCGATAGTGGTCTGTAGTATTTTATCAACAAAGCCTTTAGAATTCTTAACGTGTCTCTCTGAATTTCCTACAAGTGGGCTTATCAATTCACTGACGAATTTGGAAAGCTCGTATGTTGGGTATCCTATAAATGAAACTGTTGGCCTAAACGGGATGCCTTCCTTATGGATTTTGGGTAGTCCGTAAAGGGATGGAGCTGAAGAGTCAGTTATTCTCAATCGGTAACCTGTAGCTTCATTGATTTTGTCTTCCTGCGATAATTTCCAGATAAATTTCGCTACATTTCGTTCCGTGGACTTTGTCGGGTCTCTTTTTAATTTCTTGTACACCGAACTATCTGATAATAAATTTAGAATTTTGCTGTTGTAATCTGAAGTGTTCATGATTACGGTACAGTTTCCTTTATCAGCTTTAAGAATGGTCAAATTATTGTTTTCTTTAAGTTCTTTGAGAGCTTTTCCTTGATCCTTTGTAAGATTCGAGTTCAATTTAGGTTGATTCTTTACTGCGAAAACTAATTTACTCCGAATCAAATTTGCAATATCTTTGGGGATTCGTCGGAGTGCATTTTCTGCGGCGGACAAGATCATTTGCGTACAGGGTTTTCTTGAGGTAGTCGCAAAATTCAATCCGAGTTCCAGAACCTTTGTTTGAGTAGAGGTAAGACTTTGATTAGATATATTCATGACCCACCTGGACCTATCTATCGGTTTATTGTTTGATGGAACCCGTAATTTATCCAGTTTTCTTTCGTGGTCTTTTGTCTGTTTCACACATTCATCTTTAGTTCGTTTTTGATAATAGGAGTTCAAGTGTGTCATTAGAGTTTCAGAAAGAGTCTGCTGCATTAGTGTTCTGAAATTATATTTACTTTCTTCCAGTTTTGCGATACTTTCATGTGATTTCCTGATGCGTATTTTTAAGAATTGGAAACCGAATTTCTTTGTCAACTTTCTTCCTTCGGGGCAGTTAATAGGAGACCTGAAACTGAGACTTCCGTTCGCGTAAGCAAGTGTGATTGGAATATAGATGACTGCGGTGTCTTCCCAAACCATTTTCAATGTTTAAGTACTTCCGACATAGTCTAAGTACTTCAGAGCCGTGCGACTCCTTGATGAGTCTAAATAGTGCGTGATTGCCACCAGGTAAACTCATGTTGATAATAAATGAAGCACAACCGGTGTTAGCAAAACGATGTAATTTGCCAACGTTTCAAATTTCTATACAGAAAAACTTCATCAGGGCATGATATGGAAAAGACACAAGTGGATATATATAGAGCAAGTAAAAGAAAAAAATATGAAAAAATTATCATGGCGTCAACTCTAATCTAAAAGGATGATGATAAGATAATATGCACATTTGTTGATAGAGTCGACTATTTATCGGATAATGTTTTGTATAACCTTTTCTGTCGCGTTATATTCAATCCATGACAACAACGAGAATTTAAAATGTTTTTCTATTTTCATTTAATTGTGTTCAAGCTAGCTTGCGGTTGCGTTGACAAAATAAAAGCATTACTAATCTGAAATACCACAGCAATCTGCGGACATAATATTGTAAGCTAAGCTGCCCAATTGTATTTAGTTTTGATACATGTTTTTGCGATATTGTGAATTCGTTATTGCCGTTAGAAAAATCTCAAGATTTGCTATAAATCCCAGAAAGTATAATTGTATTTAGTACATTGAAAATACATCAGTATATCAAAAATACATATTCGACTCCTCGTAGCGGTACTTTTGAAGTAATCGTCTGCATTACAACACTCATTAGAAGAGCCGACTTTTTAGTGGATATGTACTGATTTTTCTGTTGCATAGAATTATGAACTTGTAAGCAATACGGGTATTTAAAGAAATCATTGCTTTATTATGATAATTGTGATTATTTTAATCTGCGCCTGTGTTGACGAAATAAAAGCATGTCTCCTCAGAAAATATCGTGGCAAACTGCCAACATAAAAATATGTGGTAAAGTGCCCGCAATGGCAATCCTAAAACAAAATGTGTCATGCTCTCCGTTTTATTTTTAGTATTTTATATTGCTGTTTTCCAATCTAGAAAATTTGGGTTGCGGATTCACTCCTCTATTTGTATTTATCATCTTGTCGCTGATGATTATAATATGATTATAATATTATCTCAGTTCCGTGTGAGAAAGAAAAAAGGTAATTATGGTCGTGCTCGTGGCACAATACTTATATCGGGGAAATTTGTGATTTAAAGGTCAATGAACTCCGAAATAAAGATGGCCCAAATAACACCTTATGCAGACGAAAACGACGAAGGAAATCGTATGTGTTACTACTTAATTTTTCAGCAGTCAAGGGCCAGGTTAAAGTCCACATGCATAATTACTATTAAAAAATGAATGGCTTTTCTGTGCTGAAAATTCATATGAACTGTATTTTTGACCTGGTGGTTGTCCAAAGGTATTGGTAATGAATTTTGGAGACGTTAGGCAAGCCGATGAGTCACAGTAACACACAGTAAATAATTTAGTAATCGATAGTGATGAAGTAAACAATTGATTGAAGTTTTAAGTGTCTTACATAAAGGCAAAAGTACATTGAAGCGCAAAAAGCATACGTTTATTACGGGTTTAGTTTTACTTAGTTTGACCAGTTATTGCAAACCGATTGGAAAAAGGAGAATGTATGATGACCATTATTAGAGTATGGCTTTATACATACCACAGTAAATGGCGAGGTAGTACTCGAATGCAATTTATGCCTAAACAATCTGAGCAATGACCTATGAGACCAACACTCTTA